TATCATGCTTTGACGTGTACTAAGGTGAACAGCTGATCAGCAAAGTGACATTTTTGTGTTAACCCGCAACGTTGGCAATAACGAATCGGGTGTAAATCTATAAAAACCTATTTGTAGCGTCTGGTTTTTTGTATGCAAGAGAACTTTTCTAAACAATGTCGTTTGCTGATATGGAGGATTTTTAAATATTACTAGAAGATCAGCTGTCATTCTACGGTAATGAATACTCGTGAAAAAGACTATAAAGATTTCTTCTCGTGATCCCGTAGTGAATGGAGCGGAGACAGAAGAAATTTCCCCTCCTCTCGAACTTTTGACAGTTCCAAGTTACACCGGGAGTGGCTAGGTGGCTCATGTTGAGCAAGATTTTTGCTATAAGCTCGTTGATAAACTAAGCTGCTCGCTTTGAAGCTGAAATAAAAAGATCGATCGTCCTTTGTCCAATGTACACCAATAAAATCAACCGTTTGATATGACCAGTGCAGCTCCTATATCGACGATGACCTCACGGTCTTCTCCCTCGTAATTTAAAATCAGGTTCACCTGTTCCTCCATTTTCTTGATTTATGATTTAATGTATTAACTCAACCTTCGGCACTGCGAAAACAAATTTTCAATTGAGATCTCTGTTTTTCAAAAAGACTTTGAGATAAGACCTTGCACCCGCTAGCCCCTCACCTACGTTAGGCGGTAACAGTACCACTTGATTTTTTGATATTTGGATGACGTTACATCCGTCTTCGCCTATTCCAATTCTTCGCGAAAATTTGAGTATCAGCTTACGGTACTGCACTGTGCTACACCGTGGTCTAGCGATAAAATTCTTTATATGCAACTTCACCATATCCTAACTCTCTGCTGTCATCTTTTTATACCCTATTTCACGAGTTTCCATCACGGCAGAATGATTGTCTAGTAATAGCTCAAATTTCCCCATATCGGCACAGGACCCATAATTCTGACGGATCCGTCAACGTCAGGTAGTCAGAGCTGTATTTTGCTTTGGATCTTTGTACGATACAGATTCATTTTGTACCAACTATTTTACTTAGAAAAGTTCAGTTGCATACAAAAAACAAAACACAACAAACAAATTTTACTAGATTTATACCCGATTCATTATTGCCTACGTTGCAGACTAACACAAAAATCTCATAAAGCGTGTTATATTCCTCCATTGAAAATAAATTAATTCTGTTTCAGTCCGACATTACAGATATAAAGTGATAAGCATCAGTGTAATTGTGTGCAAATATAAGATTTGTGGAAGATTTAATGCAGATAAGTTTAGTTATTCATCTTAAAAATCAAGACATGCTTTTAATCATCGATAAAATATGAATCAAATACGAAGCCCGTAGAAATTGCGTAACTACTTTGTACGATAATCACAATAAAACTTGCTACGCAAGTAATTCAATAGGCCTATATCACGGTGTCGAAGTTTATCATATACATCTGTATGGAATTCACAATGGCGAATATGTAAGTAAACAAGATGATTGTAATATGTTAGCTATATATTCTTCACTTCGCCTATACAACAAATAATAAATAGTTTGGTTGCAATAAAGTAGAATTATGTAACAACAACTGAAACTTGCACTGACACTTATGTTATATAGCTGTCGCAAGAGGTTTACACTTTTGTTGTGTAACTGTTACCTGCAGCCTTTATACAACTTCTTAAATGACAGAAGTGTCGTATTAGGTGTGCCCATTCCGCTTGTATAGCTGTTCTGAGAGCGTTTTGCCAACATTCTTGCAACATACAATGCTGTAGGAATGCTGTGCATATAATCCTTCTTCCAACACTAATATGAGTGATAATTGCTAGTTGGAAAGTTTGTGTGTTAGATGGAAATTGGCGAAATTTTAATCTTTTCCAACTATTCTGTTAGAACAGGAGATAACATGGCTTGTTGTCGTAGACATAACCTCAGTTGAAGTACAATTTAAAATTATGTTGTGTTGTAACGGTACTTTCGATCTACGCATGCTCTGTCCTGTGGAGAACCAGTTCGGTGGTTTGCTGGACCCAAGCTCTTGCAGCAAACCTCGAGTACCCTGAGTATCTGAGTGCCGTTGCTATTTAATTATACGGGGTAAACGTTTCTCGATCTAATAAAAAGCAAAACTATTAAATAAATTAATAGGATTTTTCAATAAGTTTGACATCATATCGGAAAATCAGTATGGGTTCAGAGGTCAATGGAAGGTGTTATATTGGAACTCACATCTCACATATATGACTCAGTAGATAACAAATACCAGCACTGTGCATTTTCTTTACTTATCCAAGGAATTTGATACTGTATCTCATAGTAAGCTAATTAGCAAATTAGAGGCTAATGGAATAAGGTGAAAAGCTAGCTATTTGGCAGGTTGTTTGTGTGAATCGTGTAACTAGATGTCCGAGGACTATAGCTTGTGGAGTTCCACAGGGTACAGTTTTGGCCCGCTGTTATTCACGGTAAACATGAACACTCTTGTTCAAAAGAACAGTTAAGGTCATATATTAAGCTCTGCAGATGACACCGTTGAATTTATCAAACTCATGGAACTCTCTGAAGGAAGGACTAGAAATTGATTTCAAATCAATAGTTGATTAGCTCCGGTTTAACAAACTAACAATGAATTATGATAAAACAGGATATATGACATATACATCTTAACACTAATAGTCACCCCCATTTAGGAGCATTGCAACACACATATGAGTATCCATGAGACAGACTGTGTGAAATGTCTTGGCGCCATAGTGGACAGGCACTTGAGATGGAATTGACGCACTAGATATATCAGCAAAAAATTGAGAGGCACGATTCCAAGGTACAGGCTTCTGAAATATTTCTTGAGCAAATATGACGTAAAGATACTGTACACAGCATTCGACAAATCAAAGCTGTCTTATGGAATCATCGGCACGGGTATTACGTTTCTTGAAAAGTGACACTATGTCGATTTTTTTTGACATTTTATTGTTTTTTGTGACATTATGTAGGATTTCCTACAAGATGTTAACTTAGCTCTAGCTGATAGACACGCTGTGAACTCGTATTGTAGTTGTACGTGTTGCATAAATGTCATGATGCTTCAGTTATTAATGTTTGGCTGTGATGTGTTGTAAAATCTGCTTCAGAATGGCATTAGTGGAGGTCTAAGCTGCAAGCTGTATACTACAGCTAGAAGGAAACGGTAACTCCATTGGATTCTTGTCTCAAATACACTTACTTGAGATTCAAAGCTAGAAATTAGTTGCACATCCACCTTTTCTAATTCATTCTGAAAATTACATATGCTAATTTTGCGAGTTTCAAAAAAGAGAGAGATAAGAATAGAAAATCCCTGGTTGGTCAAGGAACAGGTGACAAAATATGCTGCAGAGAGGAATATTTATGAAAGTGAAAAGGTTATTATTTTTTATTTACAGTCATTTAAATTTCATAGAAATTTATTTTTCAATGTTAATAGAAAATAGAAATCAGCGCCTAGATGTGAGGCATAGCGAAAATGGTTGATGTGTACGTCATTACTAATTTTTCGCGGGTGCGGTGGAGATTTCTCGTAGTGCTCCGAAAAGTTTTTGAAAACAAAAAAAAACGGGAAAAATCGTAATTTATAACATTGAACAAAACCTGTCTTCAGAAAGGACAACATAATATAAACAATCCATCATCGGGCTCAGCTAATAAGTATACTTCATATGCAGTAATAATTTTCTCATACAGCAAATATCACTGATTTTATACACATGCAGGCCAATACACAGAATCATCCAAATGCGATCTTGCTATTCAACCAGCTTTCTCCTCAGAGATAAAAACTACAGACTACTTGGCTTCATAAAACATATGCAACCATCAATGCATGTAGTTGAATCATTCCTCAATAGATGGACGCTCACAGCGGTCATAGCGAGCAAATGTGGAATGAACTATTTGCACCCTAAAAATGACCTAGTCTGCAAGATGACATTTTATTGTTTTTTTTGACGTTTTATAGGTTTTTACATAATACCCTTGCGGATGGGGTGGAGTAACCAACGCACATTTAAAATATCTTGAGGTATTGCAAAAATGGATTTTAAGAATAACAAGCGAGAGAAAATAACATATCTCACGAACCTGTTATATTCCGAAATATCTTTCCTTGCTGTACTAAAAATCTACTGTTTTGCTATGTTAAAGAATATCCAAGCACGCAAAATTAAATTTTATTATTATTATTATTATCAAACACGTCACAAAGAACATTGTTATGGGATCCTCGAAGAAGTAAATCCGCAGGACAGAGGCCCTTTCTTTATCTTGCACCAAAATTGAACAATATGCTACCTCTGAATCTTAGAAATAATATAACATCAGTATCGAGATTTAAAACTCAAAGAAGTGGACTAGGTAGATAGTGGAAGAACGTTTTTCCTTAACTTAGTAGTCAATATTTTATAAATCGTATGATGCAGTGCAGTGTAGTTTCAATAAGCCCTGACTAGACTCCCAGTATGTATTTGACAAAGTACTGTTATTATTATTGTAGACAATTCACCTCCATATAGACACACTACAATTTTAGACAATTATCCCGATTTGGACAAGAAAGCTTGGTTTTAAATAAAAAAATCACCAACAAACTGCAAACGCAGCTTCAAGGGTTATTTATGTGTTATTTGATATTGATTTTATATCTCAAATATACACAGGCTGTCACAAATAAACACATATATTCATATTAATATATTATATAACTAAATCTATTGACTAGCTTAAACAGTGGCTGCATATTCGCATATAGAGCCTTCTGAAGCGCTAGTTGAAATGCTGGGTCACGACGATTTGTTGATTCGGCTAGCTGGAGCAGAGCACTTGCAATTAACCCGTATATCTAACAAAGCATTGTTTAAACGCACCAGGTAAAATGTTAATTAGCGTAGTTTTCTTGAACTTCTGGTCCGTAGAATGAAGTAAATTTAAACTTTGGACGTGTAGCTGAACTATTAAATGAAATTCGAACGAGCTGGGCATAGCAGCAGCGGTCGGGCGTTGAAACAGCAGTATGCGGCACTCACAGCGGCGCAGCCGTTTGTAGCTTGTTGAAGCGTATCATGATGGCACTGCCACGTGAGGCTTTCACAACTCTTGCCAACAAATGAGGGAGGTATTTTGATCGAAAATGGATTCGGTACTATGACCTTTCATCGTTCAATTAAACACGTACCACATATTGTCTTTGCGAATATAAATAATATTGCTTAGCCCATTACGGCCAGGTTAATTTTTTTGCTATGAGCTCGTTCCTTTTATAGAATTATACAGGGTGTTCATTTGAAAACTTGCCTCCACGGATTTATAGAAAACCACTTATTAAAAGAAAAAACGCCGAGATACTTCAAAAGATTTGTCAAGGAAGACAACCTTTTAACCAAAAACTACTCCCCCTCCTTTCACCCTCGCCCCCCAGGGCCATTTCCTTAAAAAATTTTTAGTGGCAAGGGTTATCGAGTAGGGTAGAGTGGGGTTAACTGAACAGGTAGGTTAACTGAACACATCGATGTTCCTGCCATCTAGTAATGATAAATTAAACTTGATTTTGCCTGAAAGCGTCTTTTGTTACGTGTATTGACACTGTTCGGTGCAGATTTCTTTTAAGTCGGTTCTAATCTCGTAAATCAGCAAACATATTTTTAATGGCCGCCACGTAAAATTTGTGCTCCCAAGTTTTTTTGTGTTACAGTTAGCAAAATAGAGTTTTAAAATTGGTTTGACGTATATTTTGTTCCAGTAAGTATTTTAGCATTTATTTCTTGTGTTTACCTAAGCTTAACATTCTTTTTTAATCAAATTTTTCTTTTGCTTATGTATTGGTGCACAGTGGGTATAACTGGACATCTCATGTATGTGGTTATATGAACAGGTGTTCAGTTAACCTGCGTTATTTATTTATTATTATTTTGTCTACAAATTTAGTTTATTTTTTAGAATATGCCAAGGAAAAGACTACGTACTACCAATAACAGATCATATAGTGTAGCAGATCTTAGACAAGCATGTGAAGAAGTCCTGACACATGGTCGAACAACTCGAAGTGTTGCACTTCAGTTTAAAATCCCAAGAATTACTTTAAAAAGGTATGTCGATAAATGTCGGGAAAAAAACAACTTGGATATAAATTTTTGCCCCAACAACGAACATCTCTTGGCTTTTAGTCCCGTTGAAGAATTACTTCTTAAAAAATACTTAGAGCATGCATCAAACATTCACTATGGCTTGTCTTCTAAACAAGCTCGTATTCTAGCTTACGAGTTTGCGGTGGTCAATGGCAAAACCATAAAAGAAAGTTGGTCCCGAGAAGCAATGGCAGGCAAAGAGTGAATGTTTAGATTTATGAACAGGCACAACTTTTCGTTGAGGACGCCAGAACAAACAAGCTTAAGTAGGGCAACCAGTTTTAATAAGACAAATGTGGAGGCATTTTTAAAAAATTTTAGAGAGATTAAAGAGAGATATAATTTGCAATCTAATGATATATACAATCTAGATGAATCCGGTGTAACCACGGTCCATAAACCTCCTGAGGTTCTTGCAATTAAAGAAACAAGAAATGTAGGCCAGATGACGTCGGCTGAAAGAGGGACGCTCGTAACCGTTGTAGGAATTATTGGAGCTACAGCTGGCTCTAAGGGTGGAGCTTCGCCTTCTGGATGGATGAACAGTCAGTTGTTTCTTCCTGTGTTGCAGCATTTCGTACAAAACGAGAGACCACCTAAAGAACATCCCAAACTAATAATCCTTGATAATCATGAGAGTCACTTAGATATTGCAGCACTAAATTTTGCTAAGCAAAACGGTATACTCCTTTTGACATTGCCACCCCATTGCAGCCACACGCTGCAACCATTGGATTTAGCAGTATTTGGGCCATTTAAAAAATATTATGGTGCAAGTTGTGACAGATGGATGGTAAATCATGCCGGAAAACCTATCACTATTTATGACATCGGAAGTCTGGTTGGAGAGGCTTTTTTGCAAGCGTTTACTCCAACAAATATATGTAGTGGATTTCGTGCAGCAGGAATAGAGCCGTTTAATGACCAAATATTTTCGGATGAAGAATTTCTTTCGTCATATGTTACAGATAGACCAGGGAAAACATCAGAGGAAGAGGCACCACAAGCTGGGTCGTCACAAGATAATACATCACTGCCTAAACCGATTCAACATGGCATGACAGATCCTGTTCTGTCACAATTTCAGCTCTCAAAATATCAAGAATCTCAAGCCGGACCATCACAAGCTGAATCGTCGAGCACTGCTAAACTACAAACTGAAAAATCACAAACCAAACCGACTTTATCTTCAATTGAGATAAAAAAGCCGACATTACAAATCATAACTCCTGAACAGATCCGTCCTCACCCCAAAGCTGGTGAACGAAAATCTACAATTCGACGAAAGAAAGGAAAATCCCTGATTTTGATAGACACTCCTGTCAAAGAGAACTCTATGTACTCTATGGAAGAAGCAAGACTTCGAGAAGAAAAAGCACACAAAAAACAGAACAACTAACAAGCAAAAAGAGGCAGTAAAAAGACGTATTCTAGAAGACAGCTCTTCTGATGATGAAAGTGTTATCTATGAAGAAAGCTCGGATTCTTTAGAAGAATTTGATGCATATGGCGATAGTCCACAAGCTGTGACAAAAGGCGATTTTGTAATCGTGAAAGTGTATGGGCAAAATAAATTAAATTTCAGACATTATGTTGGTGAAATTATTCATGCTGTAAATGATGGTTTTGAGGTTACTTTTTTAAAACGCCACAAAGAAACAAACTATTTTTTTAAAAATAATGAAAATGGCTTTGTTGTAAAAGCTGATATTGTTTGTAAGTTACCCATGCCAGCCAAAAGTAACAGCGCTAGATATGCCAACATGGTGTCATTTCAAGTTGATTTAAATGAATTTGACTTTACAGTTTATTAAAATTACCTACAATATTTTCATACATGTTCAGTATGTTTGACTTTACAATTTATTAAAAGTATCTATAATATTTTGTATGTATCTTCAGAATATTTCTTATTATAAATTAAAATGATTGTTAAAAAGTGTTGACATATTTTCTATGATATATTTTTTACATTTTTATTATAGCTAGTCGCCTTATTCGCTAGAGGGCTAGACTTGTATTTAGGGTATTAGGTTGGTAATAGTAAATGATGGAAAGCTTGCCAGCCTTCTTATGGTTTAGTGCCCTGAATTTTCCATGCATGGCCATTTTTGCTGTTTAACAATTTATGACAAATTTATTGTATATTTCTGTCAATTAAATAACAAAAATGGCGGCCCATGAAGATTCCAGGGCACTAAATCATAAGAAGCTGACAAAATTTCCATGTAGAAAGTGTTGAGTAAAAGTAAATTTAAAACATATATCTTGCTTGTACCTCTGTTCAGTCAACCTGCATAAGTGGTCCAGTTAACCTGACAGGCAGGTTAACTGGACAATTTGATAGGTTTTAAAAAAAGTCAATCTGTCATACACATAAATTTAAATTTAACTTTAAACATTACGTTTTCCAATTACTTACATAACTTCCAAAGCATGGTCATAACGATTTTCTGGTTAAAAACAAAGTTTAAATTTTGATTGGTCCAGTTAACCCCACTCTAACGAAGTCCATTCGTTTTCAAGAAAATTAGGAAAACCTTTATTTAACTTAATTTGTTCAGATAGAAAACAAAAACACACAAAAATATAATTTTTTATTTCAATAAGTGTTCAAAATGTTGCCCGTTATCGGCCAAACAATAATACAGGCGATGTCCAAATTTCTGACGGACATTTTCAAAAACATGTTGTGGGATATCATTCCAGCTTTCGAAGATGCGTTGAAGAAGTTCATCCAAACTTTCAGGTTGGGGATTAAATACAATAGATTTCAAATGACCCCAAGTCTAATGGAGTCAAACCAGGAGATCTATCAGGCCATTCTATAGGCCCTCTTTGCCCTATCATCTGGAAACTCGTCGTCTAGCCATTGCCGAACCGTAAGAACATTGTGAGCAGGAGCGTCGTCTTGCTGAAAATAATACTGTAATTATCATTCAAGCATTGGGTTTCCATCCCCTTCAGTGACAAGCGGACTGATGGTACTTTCCAACATATCCAAATAAATGCCTCCATTCAAATTTCCATTAACAAACAATGTCCCAATCGCTTTGTTTCCTAAAATCCCTGCCCATACATTAATTTTTTGGGGCTACTGAGTATGGCCCTTCTATAAAAACATCAGGATTTTCAATACTCCACTACATGCAGTTATGCTTATCAATAAATCCATTTAGATAAAATGTGCATTTATCACTGAAGCAGATATGCCTTACATGAATGGTATTATCATTAATCGCTGCAGTCATTTGATCACAAAACTCAAGTCGCCTATCGAAATCATTTTCGATTAACTCTTTCAATATTTTCATTTTGAATGGAATAGATTTATCGAGTTCAATTACTGTGTGTTCAGAGCCTAATGAAATACCAGTCGAACCAACAATTTGGGTAATGCAGTATTAGGATTTATTCCAAAACGACCCAAAACTTCAGCTTGAGCGGCTTCTTCCAAAACTCTCCGGTGCTCACGTTTTTTATTTGCAACAGATCCAGTTTGAGTAAATTTAGTAACAAGGTCCAAAACAGACCTATGCGAAGTTATCTTAAATTAGAATCATTTCCATTCTTTCGGTTAGTGTGTAAAAAATTTGGAAGTAAAATCTGAATTAATAAATTAATTTTCACTATCCTAAGGTTATCATAAAGGTAACTGACAGCAAACTAAATTATTTCTTTCCCTTAGCAACAAATAACTAAGCAGGTAGGTATAACAATAGATACAGTTCGCCCAGGATATAATTGTTGATAAAAAGAATGCGGAAAAAAATTCGGATAACTTGGTTGTTGTCTAATCTTCCGAGCTGCTGTTTATGTCGGTAGCTTCTCTTTTAAATTATAAGCGAATTTTAGATTTGGCAGACCCTAACGGACAACATTTTTAACACTGATTGAAATAAAAAGTGATATTTTCGTGTGATTTTGTTTTCTATCTGAACAAATTAGGTTAAATAAAAATTTTTCAAATTTCCTTGAAAACGAATCGACCGATTTTAGAAAATCAAACGTCAAAATAATGGACTTCGGAGGATCTTTCGAACAAGCTGTTACTCAATACCCCTTGAGATCTAAATTTTTTTAGAGAATAACCCTGGTGGCCGAGTTTTTAGTTAAAAAGTTGTTCCCCCTGACAAATCTCTTGATATGTCTCGGCGTATTTTCTTTTAATCAGTGGTGTTCGATAAATCCGTGGTGGGAAGTTTTTAAATGTATAACAATATTCTAATGTCATATAGTATGTTACCACCAATATTATTCAGCTGGCCATCAGAGTATAGGTGATAATAGTGGCTTGATGGTGCCTGCCTAATGAAGAGATTCCTGAAACATGCCTGTTCACGTAAAAACTGAGGGTGACACTGCCGCCCATCGCCAATCGTAGTCATATCAAAGAGAAGTTATACAAAGAGAAGATAGACAGGACAAATATATCATAGAGAAATAAGAGGTGCAAACAGAAACACGGCGCCCACAATACGATTAATGTCGTTTGTACACGGTCTGTCCTTAATTGGTCAGAGATAAGTGCGATATTTATTTATTTATTTATTTATTTATCAACGAGCGACTGCCCAATTAAAGTACAGCATAGAAGATCTAATGTAAACCTAACCCTACTTTGACTTAGATATTTAACACTTAAAACAATCATAAACACTTTAAAATCCAGATCATTTCTGAATTGAAACGAATTCAATTAAAATATGCATATATGGGGAAATCAAATATTAAATATTACTGACAGGAATCTAATTGAATTTTGAATGCTTTCTGACTTCTGAAGAAATCCAACTTGTTAGAATACTGATTTGATAACCTTGAAGATCTAGACAGGAAGGAATTGCTAGCATAATTAGTACGAAATGATCTCACGTGGAATGGTTGATCCAGTCTTGTTTGACGAGAAGGCACATGGGGATTAATAATTTTCAAAAGTTCTGGAGCAAAACTAAGAGAGTGCAAAATATTATAAAATAGTGACAGGTCCGTCTGACTCCCTCTTACCTGAAGGGTTGAGATATTGAGAGAGCTTTCAATGACGGAATAGATAATATCTTCTACCATAACGTTTTGTTTGAATGAGATGAATCTTAAGAATTTATGTTGCACTCTCTCAATTGCCTGAATATCAACATTATAGTTGGGTGACCAAACACAAGAACAATATTCCAGATGGGGCCTCACCAAAGAACATAACAACGTTTTAAATGACTGAATATTATGAAAATCCTTAGCACATCGTTTTATAAATCCCAACAGTTGAAGCGATTTAGAAACAATCATATTTATATGGGTAATAAAAGATAATTTTGGGTCAAGAATTACCCCTAAATCCCTAACTTGGGATACACTCTTTAGAGGACAACCTTTCATGGTATAAGTATGATCAATGGGGTCCCTGTTACGGTTGAAGACCATTAAATGGCATTTTTCCACTTTAAGTTCCATTCTATTCATTTGACACCAGAGACTTAATGAATTCAAATCATTTTGGATATTTAAACAATCATTTTTATATTTGATTTTTAAGCATAATTTCAAATCATCTGCAAAAAGATATTAAGCATATCACCAAGTGATTTATTAATAAGCAGTTTGTCCCAATTAAAACTGGAGAGAAATGCTATCACTTCCTGCACATTTGTGAATTTAAAATCTCTGTAAAAACCACTAAAAGTAAGCCCAGAATCATTAAGGCACGTTTCACAGTTTAGCTCAAACTACAGTGGTGGATGATGAGTGTCTGCTGGTAAAAGTGCTTCCTCAGCTGCATATATCGTAGTTGTTTCATCTTGCATAAAAATTAGATCCAGTAAGTTGTTATTTTCATTTCTAATAAAATTCACTTGGTAAAGGTTATGATATGAACACAACCAAGAAAGGACCTGTATTGATTCAGCTTCAGATGATAAAACTCCTGTCAGAGGAACAGCAATAGAGGCCATATTTTCCTTAGACCATTGACAATGTGGGAGATTAAAATCTCCAAGGATACATAGCCTGTAGTCAGGATACAGCTCAGTTACATTCTCTAAATTCTCCGAAAATTCAACATATTTGTCTGGAGAACTACTAGGAGGGAAATATGCTGTAGCAAGGATAATTTTAGTTCGATCAATATGAATTTTTATGAACAATTGTTCAATGATTTTAGTGGATGGTACAATACCACTAATTAAAGCTTTCCCTACAGCTATAAGCACTCCTCCTCCTCGAGAAAAGGTATTTGACTGTGAAGTTCTGTCTTGCCTGTAAATATTGTAGTCAAATAATTGTAGCTCAGGACTATTTATGTCTTCGGTTAAGCAAGTTTCATTCAAAACAAGAATATCATATTGAGAATAGGACATGTCTTCATATAGAAGATGCAGCTTTGTTCGTAAGCCTCTAACATTCTGGAAATAAACAAGTACGGTTGAAAATAAGTTAGATCTTGATAGGGCAGGCACGCTCAGTTTTTTGTAATAAGTTTGGGCACACCATTAACATATTTCATTATGAGATTAGCTTCTACATTGCGTTTTCTAACATGGAGTTCATTTTTCAAGGAATTTACCTCAGCTCTTTGTTCATTGTTAAATCTGCATCAAGAAAAATCTTTAAACTTCTATCAAGTTCACGCTTATTCCTCAATATTGAACGAACTACTTCAGGAGACTCCAAAATTAAACGTAGTGATTGATGCCCATTCTTAATCCGTCTTCCAATACGAGCTGAAGACACTATATTAACTACAGATCCTATGAGGCGAGATAGT